CTTTAAAAGTGGACTTGTGTTGTGTTTTTTTTTTTTTTTTTTTTATTGTGATTTTGGTGTTTATGATGTGTTGACACAGTGTTATATATACACAGTATATCCATATAAGAGAATATTATCCAATATGCAAGCAATGAAGTGAACAAATTTTAATTACATCGACCTGAGTGAATATCACAAATATATGTTGAGTAAAAGAAGAAAATTATGAATACGTAGAGTATGATTCCATTTGGGAAAAAAGATCTTAAAATAGGTCCAACTAACCAGCACGTTTCTGAGAAATATGTACATAGACAATAAAACTCTAACAAGAAACCAGGGCATTATCATCATTGAAATCTGAGATCACAGTTACCGTGGGGAATAGGTTCTGGAAGGGGATATATTGAAGCTTGAAAATTATTGGTAAAGTTCTATTTCTTAACTGGATTTTAGTTACATGCGGTTCATTTTATCATTATTTTACATGCTTACATGTGTGTCATTACTCATCTATATGATGTATTTCGTACACCTGCGCGCACACGCCCTCTGACGGTGGACGGCTGGACAGCCTCGCTTACAATTGGCATTTACCTTTCTCTCGCCAGGACTATACCATCACGATGTTTTTTTATCAGACCTGGAAAGATCCACGTTTAGCATACCATGAGACCGACCAGAACCTGACTCTCGACTATCGCCTCTTGGAGAAGTTGTGGGTCCCCGACTGCTACTTTCTAAATAGCAAGGATAGTTTTGTGCACGACATGACTGTGGAGAATCGCATGTTTCAGCTTCATCCAGATGGGACGGTGCGGTATGGCATCCGGTGAGTTCTCCAAGGGCCTGGGGACCGTCCTGGTAGGCTTCCTTCTTCCCACCACGTGTCCCAGGGGCGCACTCCAAGGGACACACAGAAGGTCGCACAGCTTGCGCTGCGCCCTCACTCACCCTCGCCGGTTTCCCATAGCCACCCTTGGCTGGCCTGTCTCCTGCCGTTGCTTCTGTCCACAAGTGACCTTTTCCATGAATCTGAACGCTGGCCATCTTTCGATCCCTAACTCAAATGCCCTGTTTGTCAAGAAATCCTCCTCGATTCTCCCTCTGCCTAAGTATTGTGTACTTTCTGTCATTTATCTTGGTGTGTTTTCTCTGCCGTGCGTTGAGGGAGAGAGACATAAATGCCGAGGCCCACGCAGTGAGGGAGAGGACCGATCTCTGCCATTGGTCACATGTGCATCACGTAGGGGCCCAGGGGTGTGCAGTATGTGGCTGTGTAGACACACGGAATGTGCGTGTTGGAACTTCTCACTGTCCTGTTGATAGCAGCAGACGGCCACCAAGGCTCCTCCTCACAGCGTCATCTCTTACAAGGTGTAACAGATAAATTTAGCTCCGAATACTTCTCCAACAGGTAGCTGCCAGGGTTCAGCTCTGTGTGTGGGTCCCTCTTTCTCTAGGGGGCTTCCTCTCTGCTCCCTGCTCCCTTCTGCTTTCTCCGTCCGCTTTCCCATGGACTGAGTCACTGGAGTCAGAACAACAAAGCTCGCAGGGAGCGGGACACTGCTCACACTTGTGTCATTTCGAGGGGGCCTGCATGAAGGACGCATAGAAGGGAGAGAAACACATGCACGTGCGCACACCCCCTACGCACTGTGCCAAATGGCAGTCACTCCAAGGATTGAAAGGGACTCGGCTGGGGTTAGCAGCTGGGAAGGGCAGGATGAAGTACGTGGCAGAGCCTCCCAGCTGAGGCTGTAGAGGGCGCTGGGAATTTTCCTCTTAACCGCTTCCCCAGCTTCTCTGAGACCTCACATCAGATTCCCCTTAGGAACCCAACAACATATGGATGGCCCAACGCCCCATGGCCCACCTCAGATATGTGAATCCTTCCTCTGTATGTGCTGGCGTCTTGCTAGGCCTCGGTATGCTCACAGGCAGACACACAGATGGCAGCAGCTCCCATGGGCAGAGACAAGCCTGCGCCCCTGCTGACATCCGCCCTGAGCACTGCATACGAGCACTCGGCAGCAGACCTCGGGCTTCGGCGGCTTCAGTGTGGCACCATTACCTCTCGACAGCCTTGCTGCTTGCTCAGCAAGAAAGTCCCCTTTCTGCCTCTGCACCCTGAGGTGTCCTGCCATGCCACACGCATTCTTTGTTTAAGTCCTGGGAGATGTCTCGGT